GCGCACAACGCATCTTACCAGCAGCACTGAGCTGGGAACAACAGACAAGGAGAAGGCTCAGGTACCCAACAACATTTTAGCTTCCATCTTCTCTGGTAACTGCTCATTATACACTGCCCTCACCTTTGGTTTGGTAGGTGGGGACTAAGGAAGCAATGCTGGTCCCACAGACCCCCCCCCATCCCACACTGCGATGGAAGATCAGGTTCTGAAGCACCTGAGGACCTGAACATCCAGGAGTCTTTGTGTCCTGATGAGACGAGTCCCAGAGCCCTGAAGGAATTCACCGCTGCAGTCACCGAGCCACTCTCAATGGTATTTGAGAAGTCAAGGCAGCCAGGTGAAGTCCCTGGTGAGCAGAAAAAAGGCGACAGCACAGCTGTTATTATGGATAGAAAGGATGATCCTGGGAACTGCCAACGTGACAGTGTCACCTCTGTGCTAGGAAAAATCATGGAGCGGATCCTCCTGGAAGTGACCCTAAAGCACACGTTCCAGTGCCTCACCACGTCAAGCTCTGTATGAAAAGCTTCCTCCTAATAACCAACCTAAACCTCCCCTGTCTCAGTTTAAAACCTTTCCCCTTGTCCTGTCACCGTCCACCCTCATAAACAGCTGCTCCCCCCCCACTTATGCGCTTCCTTCAAGTATTGGAAAGCTGTGTTGAGGTCTCTCCAGAGCTTTCTCTTCTCCAAGAGAAACAATCCCAGTTCCCTCAGCCTTTCTTCACAGGAGAGCTGCTCCAGCCCTCTGATCATCTTAGCGGCCCTTCTCTGGACCTGCCCCAAAAGCTCCACACTATTCCTGTGCTGGGGCCCCAGGCCTGGATGCAGCGCTGCAGGTGGGGCCTCACAAGAGCAGAGTAGAGGGGGACGATCACCTCCATGCCCCTGCTGGCTGCTCCTCTTTTAATGCAGCCCAGAACCACCAAAACGTGCTGGGGATGAAAGGACTGAGCGCAGTCCTGCCCCATAAGGCCTGGGGGCACTGGTGTCAGCTGGAGCCAGCAGTGGGCCCTTCCAGCCCAGAAAGCCAACCGTGTCCTGGGCTGCATCCATCTGTGGTCAGCAGGTGAAGGGAGGCGATCCCTGCCCCTCTGCTCTGCACTGCTGAGGCCTCACCTGCAGTGCTGCGTCCCGATGTGGAGTCCTCAGTGCAGGGAGACATGGAGCTGTGGGAGCGCATCCAGAGCACAGCCACAAACATGAGCTAAAGGACGGAACACCTCTCCTGCAAGAAGGGAGAGCTGGGCTGCTCAGCTTGGAGAAGTGAAGGCTCCAAGATGACCTGGTAACAGCCTTTCAATACCTAAAGGACAGAACAAGGGAAAAATAGAGGTTAGATATAAGGAAAATGTCTTCCACAGTGAGGCAGTGGAACAGGTTGCCAGAGATGTGGTGGATGTGCTGCCCCTTTCAAGGTGAGGCTGGGTCAGGCTCTGAGCAGCCCGATCCAGCTGGGTGATCACTGTGGGGGAGCTGGACCGCATCGCAAACCGACCTGCATACAAACAGTGCACCAACACAGGGCTAATGGTGTTCATTACCTGCTGCACTGATCTCAACCACTGACTGGAGGAGCCCAGGCAATCCTTGAACCCCATCGGGTTGCAAAATGAAGTCAGAAAAGATACAGAACATAATTTAACACATGATAATGATGCACAGAATGCTCTTAAAAAACTCTGCATGGATGCAGTTCACAGACAGCACTGTGAATTATGGCCATAAAGTGGGATGATGTGGGAGCAGATGAACCACATTTGGGGCCCCAGACTGGCAGTTATGAGATGAGAACCACTGAAAAAGAAACAACCCACATAGCAAATACAGCTGCTCTGACCCAGCTTGAGATCCCCCAGAAAGGCAGAGCTCACAGCTCTGAAATAAAGCAGGAATCACTCACCCCATCCTAAGGCTCACCCCACACCCCAGAGGAAGCAGTCTCCAGGTTCAGGTGCTGCCCTTACAGCTACCAGCCCTTACGTGAGAACAGGAACCCCCAGAAGGGGAGGTCACAGCCCTGAAATACAAATGGAAGCACTTACCCCATTCCCAGGACCAACGCTCACCACACTCTGAAGGATGCAGCTTCCAGGTGCAGACGGCTGCCAGCCTGCCAAGCAGTCAGGATCCCACAGAAAGGAAGAGAGCACAGCCCTGCAACAGACAAAAACTTGCCCATCCCCAGGAGCAGGGCTCACCCCATCCCAAGGCAGCACTCCCCAGGTTTGGATGCTGCCCCTGCGCTTCCCAGCCCTTAAATGGGGCCAGGAAGGGGTGGAGCCTGGCTCAGCCCCGCCCACAGCCAAACTGCCCCCAGCTGTGCTGCAGGGCCGCACCTGAGGCAAGGACCGAGTCAGCTGTGGGAGCGCAGGTGAAGGCAATTCGGTAACGAAGGGGTGGAGCCTGGCTCACCTCTCCTGGACCCCATTTAAGGGCTGGCTGCCGCTGGGGAAGGATCTCTGCTGAGTTGCTGTGATTCTTGTTGTCAGTGCTCCGCCTCAGAACATCGTGTGAAGTGAGTTAAAGAGTTCCTGTTCTGGTCCTTGGGTGCCTTTCTGGGCTCTCGGATAGGAGGAGAAGAGCAGCGTTCCTGGAGGACCTGGAGTGTAGAGGAGGGAAGGCGGAGCTCCTGGCTGCACCGAAGTGGACAGAAAGGTGCGTGCTTCTGTTGTGTAAGAATTCCTTTTGATGCATTCTTCTTGTTTGGTTTGGTTGGATTTAGTATGTGATTTTCTCCCATAATGGTAACATTTTCTTGCAAGAATGCCGGTTTTCTCTCCAAACTCCGTGGGGCTCAGTCAGGCTCTGTGCAGCTCTGTTGCGCTTTATGGGGCTCTGTTGGTCTTTGTAAGGGTCTTGGGGTCTTTGTGGGTCTCTCTGGGGCTGTACAGCACTATGTATGGTTCCTTAGGACTCTGTGGGGCTTTTAGGGGTTCTGTGGGGCTCCGTAGGGTTACACCACAGAGACTTTCAAAGATCTACAGGGCGCTACAGAATCCTACAGAAGCTAACGATGCTCCTAATAGCTCACAGAGCCCTGCAGAACCCCAGAAAGGTGCACGGAACCCCGCAGTGCCCTCTAAAGCCCTTCAGAGCCCCCATCAAACACTGCGAAGCCCGAGTTTCAAACAGCTCTGAAAATGTGAGTATTGTGGGGGCTTATTGGTTTTGGGGATCCCACTCTTTTGATCAGTGATTAATTAGTGGCTAATTAGTTGTTCATTAGTGATGCATATTGCCTCCCTCATATAATAATCTCAATTTTCTAATTTGGGTGGAAATAAACCCCCTTTTTATTGTTTAATGTTGTCCGCCGCTCTTTCTAATTAATTAAGGGTGTAATTAATGTTTTTAGTGGCTTATAAGCTGCTCGCTACTGATGCTTAGTGCCCCCACACGCTCATAAAATAACCCCAATTTGGTCTTTTTTGTGGGAAAATAAACCCACGGAGCGGCTCTCCGCACTCCCCCCTTCCCTCGCTGTGCATGCAGTACCGAAATTTTCCACCATGCGGCAGCAGTGAGCGACAGTGTGCTACTGCGCGTGCGCGGAGTCGGGGGCGGGCAGCAGTCGGTCACGTGTTGTGTTGTGCCGGGTGCCGGCACGGGCGCTTTGGCCACTGGGAGAAAAGCAAACCGTTTCAAGGGCAGATTCCGATAAAATCTCGGAAAATAGACAAGGAAAATTCTGGAATCGAAGGGGGAAAATTTCTCTGAGCCGAACTTCCAGGAATTGTCAGCTCGCTTGTAGCCGAATGTTACGTAGGAATGGGTGTTAGTTTCATGGCTTTTGCGCATGCGCCCTACAGCCTGGAGGACTAAAGGCAATCAAGTTTGGCTGCACAGAGCGGTCGGAATATAGTTCCGCGTGTCTGTGCGCATGCGCAGTGCTATCTGCACTAGTGAATTGTCTCCACTGTGCGGCAGTAGTGAGCAACGCAGACGGTCACGTGCTACGCTAAGCCAATTAGGTGCGAGTATTCTGGCGCATGCGTGCTATCTCTTGGAGGACTAATCAACCACAAAGACTGGCGGATCAGTTGCGCAGAGCGGTCAGAACTTTGAGAAGCCGTTTTCGCTTTTGTGCGCATGCGCTGTGCTGCCCCCTCAGCACCAAGCAGCTGCAGTTCCACAGATGGATCACCAGGTGGCAGCAGAGACCGTGGAATGAACCCCGATGGCCTCGAGGCGGATCGGTGGCTCGGCGGCTTTCCGTTCGTTCTTTTTGATGCCAGGTGGAAAAACTCCAAGTTAGAAGAAAAGGGGTTAAAAAAAAAAAAAGGGGCTCTATTTACATGTGAAAAAAATTAATTCTGCTGCATCAAAAGAATCGATGCGATGCAGAGCTATGCAGGGTGCACTGAGAGCCTCTCGAGTGGGTGCACACGCTGCTGTCTGCTGCTGCCCCTCTCCGTTAACTTCAGGATTTGGATTACTCGTAGCATTACTGTTATGGTGACTTATGTAGATCCGTGTGGATTATGGTGGCTTATCTGGATTACTTTCAGTGGATTTGGTGGTTGAAGGTATGACCATTTTTACAGGACCTGCAACGCAGAGCATAAACGGCACAGCGACGCTCTGTCGTGCTCTGAAGGGCTGTGTGGGTCCTGTGTCCCCCCCCAGGGGCGGCGCGCTCCCTGTTCTCCTCTGATCCCCACCGTCCCCCAGAGCTGCCCCTCCTGCAGTTCCGCCCTTTGGTCACGCAGCCTCACAGCTCGGCTCTTCCTCTTTGGATTCCAGGGGCCGTATTTAATTTGCGAGAGGAAAAAGCCGCCGATAATTCGCAACATCCTCTCGTTATCTCAGAGCGCCCTGCTATGAAGCAGCGGTGCAGCGGGAAGCCACGGGTGCTACGGGACTCCATCAGACACTGCAAGGTTGCTGTAGGACTCCATAGGATGCAACAGAGAGCCTGCAGGACTCTGTGGGGCACGCAGGGGCACCCAGGAGCCTCCCCACGATCCCCCAGCGACCCCACAGTAGCCAGACTGAGGGTCCAGTGAGTTTTATTTGCTTGCAGGGCCCCATTTTTGGGGTGACTCCCGGCGTTTGGGGCTCAGCCCAGCAGCCGGCTGTACTCGGCCAACGCTGAGGACTTCTTCACCCCGTCCCAGATGCGGGCAGCGTAGTGAAACCTGCGGGAGCAGCGCAGCCCAGTGGCCTCCCAGTTACACTCTGCTCTGGTCCTGTTCATCCCAGTGTGCAACCAGGAGTCTCCCTGTATGCCTCGGTGCCTCCAGTTCCCTCCCAGCCCCTCTCAGCTCCACCAACCCCTCCCAACCCCTTCCCTTCCTCCCAACTCCCCCCCAGTTCTCACCAGTTACGCTCAGTCAGGAGGGTGTGGGAGAGCTGAGCCCGAGCAGCTGCCAGCACCCGACCCCGCAGCCGGGCCAGAAGGGTCCCAAAAGTGCCGTGGCCTCGGTATGGGGGGAGCAGGGGGAAGAGGGGACCCCCCCCAGGAGCTGCAATCCATACACATGGGGTCAGCCACGCACGTGGACTCCCCTCCCTGCACCCCGAGCCCCCTCAGCACTGAGAAAGGGGAAGCCCCCAACCCACTGCCCACAGGGAGGAACTGGGAGGGGAGAAGGGGGCTGACCGGTCCGAGGAGGAGCGTCCTCAGCTTCAGCCTCCATGGGGGGCAGCAGGAAAAGATTCACCTCGGTGGGGAGGAAACCTTCCGGGAGCCCAGGGAACAGCCCGCAATCCAGCATGGAGAGAGAGCCTGTGTGGGGAGGGGGGCACAGAGGGGTGAGGGAAGTGTGGGAAGGGGGGATGGAACCGAATGCAGGGGAAAATGTGAGAGGATGCGGCTGTGAGGGGCAGCCATGGGGGGGGGGGGGCCGGGGGGGGGAGGGAAGGGAAGGGAAGCCCTTCTGGGTGTTGGTGTGCAGGATGTGCGCCTAATGGCAGCTGGGATGGAAGCGCAGCGCTGCCATGGGTCCTGGCTGTTTGTGGACCCAACCCAAGTTGCAGCTGAAGATCTCGGCTCTCTGGGAGGGTCCAGGTGTGCAGGGGGGGTCCTGGGTGTTTCGGTGCTGCCCCCCAGTGATGGGGGGGGGGGTCTCCCAGGTGGCTGTGAGCCCCTTACCCTTGTACTTGAGGTGGGAATGGGCCATCAGGCGGTCCAGGATCCCATGCATCTGCTGCAGGCGGCGGGGGCAAAAGGCTTCAGGGCGAGCGCGGTTCTGTATGAACACTGTTTGGGGGGGGGGGGGGGGGACACAGCGCGGGGGGCTTGGGGGCAGGGGGGGGCAGTGGGGGCTCTGAGGGGCACTGTGAGGCACTGGGGGAAAATGGGGGGCTCTGAGGGTCTTGGAAGAAGCACATGGGGCCATGGGGTGGGATGTGGGGCAGCCGCCCCGTACCTGTAGAGACCGAGGTCAGTGAACCAATCCTGCACCAGCAGCACCACGTGGCAGACGGTGAAGAGGAAGGCAGCGATCTGTAACGACTGGACGCCCCCCCGTACAGCTGTGACGTCATCGCGACGTCATCGCGACATCATCGCGACGTCACACTCACCTGCATCTCCACGTAGGTGTGGGGCAGGCTGTACTCGGGGGGCAGCTTGCGGTCATTGTTGATGAGGTGATCAAGGATGGAAGGGCTGAGGATGGGCTGCGGGGGGCGGACAGTGGGTCAGGGGGTCCCGGGGGGGGCTTGGAGGCTCTTTTTGGGTCGTTTTCCCCCCCCTTCACCCCCAAACCTGGGTGTCGAGGAAGACGACGCGTTCCTGGGTGATGAAGAAGTCGATGCCGCAGGTCTGGCTGCCCCCCCGCTCCTTCAGCTCAGGGCTCTGAGGGCGGAAGACGAAAGCCCTGGGGGGGCACAAGGATGGGAGCCTGCCCACAGCTGCCCCACAGGGAGCCCCACAGATCCCTCAAGAGCCCTGCAGGTGCTCAGCTTGCCCGCCTGCTGTCCCCAGTCCATCCCAGTGCCTCCCAGTCCGCCCCCATTGCCTCCCAGTCCATCCCAGTCGCCCCCGGTACCGCGGGTCCTCCTCAGGCTGGTTGGCTGCCAGCAGGGACATGAGGGTGGATTTCCCGGTGCCTTGCAGCCCCAGCACCCCCACCACCAAGACGTCGGTCTGGTCCAGCAGGAACTGTTCAGGACGGGCACAGAGGCTCAGTGGGTCCCTGTGGGGTCCTGGGGGGTCCGGGGAGGGGGGAAGGGGGCAAAGGGGGCTGCGCTGTGCCGCACCTCGATGGCGCTGTCGCACCAGTTCATCTGCTCGTCCACCAGTTTGATGCTGCTCTTCATCTTCTCAGGAGCCGCCAGCCGCGCCTGACCCGCAACCGCTGGGGAAGCAGCAGAGTTTGGAGGGGTCCAACCGCCCAGAAAACCCAAGCCCTCCCTGGAAGACTTCACCGCTGTGCGCCTGTAGGGTAAGGAGCAGGGCTTGGCCCCGCCCCCATGTCTTAGCCCCGCCCCCACATATGAGCCCCGCCCCCTGCCATAAGCCACGCCCCAGCCATACTGAAATCAGGGTTGGCCCCACCGCTTCCCTGACCCCCACAGCCCCCAAGCCGTCCCCCATTAGCCCCGCCCCCACCCCAAAACCCCGCCCAGTGCCATTCGCCTTCGATACCAGAAGCCCCGCCCCCTCCCTTTAGCCCCGCCCACTCACGGTCCATGGCCCCAGGGGGGGGCAGCCCCCTGCCGTGCAGTTGATAGACAGGCTGGGTGGGCCGGGGTCCCTCCCTCTCCCGGGGGGGGGCGATCGCAGCCCCCTCCCCAGCTCCGACGCCGGCCCTCCCCTCCTCCCCCCGCGCCTTCATCAGCACGATGGGCGGGGCGGGGCCGGGAGGGGGCGGGGCGGGACCTGCCGCGGCCTTTACCTGCTGAGCGAGATGGGCGGGGCCGTCAGTTGGCCACGCCCGTCAGAGGCCACGCCCCCTTCCCGTAGCCCCGCCCCTCGCTCACCCGCTCGGCCGGCGGCTTTGCCAGGATGATGGGTGTCTTCGGCAGCAGCGCGCCAGGCTCCTCCGTGGGCTCCTGGGGGCGGGGTTTTCGCTGGCCACACCCCCTTCTCACGTCAATCACCCTTTGACTCCCGCCCCAACCCCCACAGAGACCACCTCCATCACATGTCAATTATTCTTTAACCACGCCCTCTCTCCAAGCCACGCCCAATCACGCACCGCCCCTCCCCCACTGCATGCGTCAATCACTCCTTAACCCCGCCCCACTCCAAGCCACGCCCAATCACGTACAGGCCCTTCTGCACTCCACGTGTCAGTCACTCTTTAAGCCCGCCCTCCCTCCAAGCCACGTCCAATCTCGTGTCAGCAGCTCCTGCACCCCTCGCACACCCCGCCCCGCCCCCCCGGGCCGTTCCCCTCCTACCCTCCGGTCCCCGCTCCCGTCGCCTTCTTTCTCCCTCGGCCACCGCCGCCGCACGCCCGGAGCCGGGCTCTGCCCGGAATCTGACATCGCTGCAGCCCCGCTGTGTCCCTCCGCGTCTTCCTGCGTCCTCCTTTTTCCTTCTCCTTCCCCTTGCGGCCTACTGCGGCCTACCGAAGCCTCCAGCCCTTCCTCGAACTCGGCCGGTTGCCGCAGCAACCGAGGAGCTTCAGAGCGCATGAGCGGGGGGCAGGTTTACGCATGCGCGCTCGATTAGGGCGGAGTTACGCATGTGCGATGGGGGATGTGGGCGGTTCCGCGCATGCGCGGCGACAGCGGAGGGGTGGGATTTAAAGGGACCGCCGCCATGGAGCTGGGCGGGGGGATGGAGTTGGGAGCAGAGGTGGAGGTGCAGGAAGGGCCCCCCGAGGAGCCGCCGGTCACATTGGTGAGACAGGGAGGGCGTCGTGGGGCGGGGGTGCTGGGGAGGGGGTGGGGAACGGGGAAATCAGGGCCTTGGGGACCCGTTGGGATGAGCGGGAGCGGTTTGGGGGCTGGCGGAAGGGTCTTTGGGGACCCACGGAGATGCGTGTGGTGTGGGAGGGGTGCCAGGGGTGGTCTGGGGCTGTTCATGGGGATGGGGGGGGGGGGGCATTTAGGGGCCCCCGGGGGCCCTTGGGCCCCCCCCGGGGGGGTCCGGCGGGCCCCGGGGGGAGCGGGGGGTTTCCTGCCCCGTTTTATGCATCCCCACCCCCCATCTCTCCCCCCTCGTACAGGAGAACGCCCAGAACTGCCTCAGCCTCGAGGGCCTCCCAGATTCCAGCACCGATGATGACGATGATGCCGTGGGGGGGCTGCCCCCTCCCCCCATTCACCTTTCGTGTCCCCCTCTGCCTCCCCCGGCTCTCCTCATCCCTCCCCCCACCCCCAGACCCCGCTGCACGCTGTGTGGAAAACATTTCAGCCGCCCGGGCCGGTTAGCACGGCACAATGCCTGGCATGCCCGGCATCGCCGGCATCACCCCCAGCCCCCCCCCGCACCCCTCCCAGCATCCTCAGCACCTCCAGGATCCCCAGCATCCTCCCCAGCACCCCCACAACCCCCCCCCAGCATGCCCAGCACACCCCCCTCCCCCAGCATTCCCACTCCCCCTCCCACCCTCACCCCCTCCCCCAGCACCCCCAGCCTCAGGCAGATGCGGCACTGGGACTGCAGGTGGGTGAGGAGCACGAAGCCAGGCCGCTGTACCCATCGATGGAGGAGGTCAGCGTGGAGCTGGAGGACCTACAGGCGGCGGTGGAGGACCTACAGGCAGTGGAGGACCTGCAGCCGGTGGTGGAAGACCTTCAGCCAGTTGTTAGTCTGAGGTTGGTGGTGAACCTACAGCCCGTGGAGGACCTACAGACCGCAGTGGAGGACTTACAGCCAGCAGTAGAGGATCTACAGCCAGCAATGGAAGACTTACAGCCAGCAGTGGAGGACTTACAGCCAATGGTGGAGGACTTACAGACGGCGGTGGTGGAGGATGTACAGCCAACAGTGAACCTGCAGCCAGTGGTCGCCCTGCAGCCAGTTGTGAACCTGCAGCCAATGGAGGACCTGCAGTCAGCAGTGATGGAGGACCTGCAGCCGGTGGTGAACCTGCAGCCCGTGGAGGATCTACAGGCAGCAGTGGAGGACCTACAGCCCATGGTGGAGGACCTGCAGCCCATGGTGGAGGTTTGTTACCCCCCAGACACCGATTTGCTCCCTGACGCCGTGCTGGACCTGGACTGCAGCTCAGCTCTCGGCAGCAGCAACCTGGAGGCTGAGCTGGGCTGTCACCCGCTGTCCCCCCCCCCGTCCTCAGGGCCGGGACC